GCGCGGAGGTCACAAGAGATCTCATGGAACCATCGGCGTGTCTCGAAATCACGTCCTTCGAATCGATAAAGAGGCTTCGGCCAAAAAACAGAGGTTTATCGATCTTAACCTTCCTGCTCCGACCGAAGACGATGATACCAGCCAAGCCGAAGCCTCTGTTGTGTTCGATGAATGCTGAAAAGGTAACCCAATTTGCGTATTCCGGGTTATCATATATATATATATATATATATATATTGCAAAGTTGAAATCTTTTCTATTTTGTTTTTGATGGGTCGAACTCAAATTTATGTTTATTCAAATGCAAGAAGCTGCTCAGTGCTTTTACATGTCCTAACGCCATCGCTTTTCATGTTAAAACTATATACAAAAACAATACTTGCCACTTGGACTCCCCTTTTTTCTCCTGGTGTTCGAAAAAGAAGTTGATCAAACCTTCCGACCATCTAATCATTTTCATTGTAGAATCAGATTTCAATTCGATCCACCCCCAACTAATTATAATTATTCTGCACGTAAACTTTATTTATTTTACCTTAAAAATCACCTAAATAAAAAAAACACACACAATCACAAATAAAACATTCAAATAAAAATCTACAACAATCAATCGGTCCAAGTAATGGGTCCAAATTAAAGTACCGGAAATCGAATTTGTATCCACTGCCATGCACAACACAAGTCCATTGTTAGGAATCATGGGTTTGAAGTCTGTATGTGCTTGTTTTTTATTTTTTGGATTAAATGTTTAAAAGAAGCTAAATGTTACAAAAAGAAAAAGTATCCCACTGTCTGCTAAGAGACTTTGCGATATCTCTTACCTTTTTACTTCGCATCTTCCCTGTCTGAATCTGTGAGACTGTTAGCCCATCTGATTGACGTCTTTTCTTGTCACAGCCACTCGTACGAGATCCTCAAAGGCTGACACCAACCTCTAGTATTCGTGTATATATATATATAAGTATTAAAGTATAGATATGTATGTACATCGTATATTTATGACCCTTTTGTCCTCGGGACTCAAAACTACCTTTTTTTAATAAAAAAATATCTTTTTTTAATCCTTTTTCCAACATGTTTTATTTTCGTTTGACGTACGTATCTACGTTTGATGTTCAATCGCAAATACAAAAAGATAAAAGATGGCGTCTGGATGAGCAAACCTATGTCATGTAAAGATAAGATGAGTAGTAGCGAGTATTGGGTAAAATGAAAAGAGTAAATATTAATACAATGTTCTTATATTATTAAACGAGATGCATGCGATTATTATTATTATTTTTATAACGTGAAAAACCACAACCACTATCCATCGTATTGGGTAAACTCCGGTCTCGTATAATAGCCTGCAAATCACACGAGAGATGTAAACCAACCTAAACTGCTCATAAATGACATATACACAAATAAAGAGAGTAAGAAAATTCGAACCCCCAATCTTGAAGTTAAAGGATCTCGTATTCAACCATGGGATTTCTCCGCACAATATAAAACCCCGCATGAGATTATTCTTGCTTGTTGGTTTATTTTATTTGTTGGTTTGACATTATTAAAAGCAAATCAGACAAAACACAACACCCGTAGTGTGGTTTAACAAAGAAGCAAAAGATGTTTGGTTAGGTGTAACAAAAGTGCCTCTCTGACTCGACGCACGAGAGAGAGAGAGAGAGAGAGATAGATACATTGGGCCATGTTCCATTTAATTCCGTAATTAATGTTCGCGAGTGCTTCGTTACACTTTCCATTCCTTAGTCACTTTGTTTGTTTGATGTTTTCTCAATGCTTCCTAAATTCAAATGGCTAAACGACTCGTCAATATATATATATATATATACACATATATATGTGTCCAAAATGGCTTATGGGCGTGGGTTATTGCTTGAACCCTTAAATGAAACTCGTTACAATTTTTTATCATTGAAGATTGCAAAGAATCGTATTGTATTGGATCGCTCTGCCTTTGTATGGGCTTTTTAAAATGGGCTTTATTATATTGTATTTGGGCTCCTTTGTCCCTTAATATGGGCCAATAATTCCCGTTATCAAATACGGCGTCGTTAAGGTGTTCGTAAGGTAATGTGATTAACATCCTCCTCCCGGAGCCTTTTTCTCCCTTGCTTCCGGATTATTTAATCCGTGTATCCAAACAACCTGTTTGAACACCATTTTTCTCCTCCGAGAAATTCTCGACGAACAGGGCTTGCCAAGGATCTGGGGCTCTGGGCGGTCTGCGATTCGCTTGTAAGTTGATGTTTTTTTGTCGGTTTTGATACCATTTTTCCTTTTTTTTTTTGGGTTCACTTTGCTATTCATTTCCCAACATGTTCTATGTTTGGTTGCTGAGAAATGGTGGGAAAGTATTTTCCCGCAGCCCTATCTACGACTGGTTGATATAGAAACCCATATGGGATTTGGTATTCAGGTTCGATTTCCCACGAATCGATTTCACAAATCGAATATGACGCGTTCTTCATGAGCTGCTACTGTAAATAGTGTCGAGAATGTGCGCGGAATGATTTTTGGTATTTAAATCGAAGAAACAAAATTATACAAGTGACGTAGAAACATGATTTGAACAACAGTTTATCTGTTTGGTTTAATTTCGATCCTGAATTTGCATGTACGTCCCCATTTACTTATATGTCTCCTGTTGAATTTCCGGATTCTTGTATTAGGAACTGACTTGGAGCTTTGGAGACATCAATGGTGAGCCAAGGAATGGTATCTCTCGCAAAATCTCTATGTACAACAGTAACGGTGACTCCCCGAGTCCACCTGAAGAACCCTAAGATGCTGCAGTCAACGAGGAATCCCCGCTTGTTCACATCTTGTCATCTCCGTCTCAGAGATTCTCGTGTTTTCTGCACAAAGTTGTCTCAGTGGGAATCTTCACCCATCATTCGTGCTCCTGCAGAAGAAGCCGGTGGTGGTTTCTTGGAGAAAACCGAAAATGTGTTCGAGTCTATAAGGTCGGAGACGGAGGATGAAGCTTCATCAGCAGCTAGCAAAGCGGAAGAGGATGTTGGTTCGGGAAGCAGCCAGAATTCGGCTCAGTTTCAGGTTCTGAAATGGCCAATATGGCTTCTGGGTCCTTCTGTTCTGCTCACAACCGGCATGGCTCCCACTTTGTGGTTGCCGTTATCGTCTGTTTTCCTCGGGCCGAACGTGGTTAGTCTGTTCTCCTTGATCGGTCTTGATTGCATTTTCAATCTTGGAGCAACCCTCTTTCTCCTGATGGCTGATTCTTGTGCCCGTCCTAAAGACCCTTCAGAATCCTGCAAGAGCAAGCCTCCCTTTAGTTACAGATTCTGGAATACGTTTGCCGCTGTAGCAGGATTGGTCGTGCCATTGTTCTTTCTCATCGCTTCCCAAAGAGGACTCGCCCTTCTCCAACCTCCGCTTCCCTTCATCTCATCGGGAATAATGTTCTTCCCGTACTTCATTCTCCTGGCGGTTCAGATGCTGACTGAAATGCTGACATGGCACTGGCAATCACCGGTCTGGCTGGTCACGCCGGTTGTGTACGAGTCATACCGGGTGCTGCAACTGATGAGGGGTCTGAAGCTCGGCTCAGAGCTCAACGCTCCAGTGTGGGTGGTCCATACACTCCGAGGTCTGGTCTCTTGGTGGGTATTGATTCTCGGAATGCAGCTCATGAGAGTGGCTTGGTTTGCCGGTTTTACCTCCCGATCACGCCGGCAAAAATCTCATGCTTCTGAGTAAAACATGTGTTCTTTGTTATAGTTTAAGCCTGTCTGAAGAATCATACGGTGTCAAAACACAGCAACTGCAGCTTATACTGTATAGGTTTATTGATGACAATAATGGCCGCAACCATGTTTTTCTTTCCTGTTTGCGGTTCGTGTTATTGCGTTTGCGACTGTGTCTGCGTTTCAGAACGCGGTTTTAGCCACGCTGGCGAGAACCAAAGAGGACCCTAAAGCATGTTTCGATTATAAAAAAAAAACCTTTAATTACTAATGTTTTGTATCATATGTTGGGAGTTGGTAACTGAGGTGGCGTTACACCTATTCTGCGCTGGTCAAATGATCTATTGAAAGCTTTGAGCATTAATTTTGAAAAGACGATAATACCCCTGATCGGAGGCCGACGCGACTTGACAAACAAGACAAACATCGGTGTCCCACGTTGTTTCACGTAATCTCTGTCTCTCTCTCACACACCGTCGGAAAACCGCTTTTGGTTTCGATCGTGCAAGTGCGTGGCGATTTCGTCGGGATGAGTAACAGCGAGCTTCTCTCCATCGAGCCTCTAGATCTTCAATTTCCTTGTAAGCTTTTTCCCCCCCAATTAGTTACGACTCTTCCCCTTCCAGATCCGCCTTTCCATGACTTGGGGTGTTTCTGATTTTTTTTTTTTTCGTTTTTGAAATTTGACGCAGTTGAATTGAGGAAGCAGATCTGTTGCTCTCTGTACTTGACCAACAAGACTGACAATTATGTGGCCTTCAAGGTGATAACCCGGTTTCCGATTCTCCTGATTTTAGTTGGAATTCGTGTAATTGTTTTTTGGTGTTCTTCCTGGAGATTTGTGTTTCTGAGATTTTGTTGGTACACTTTTAGGTTAAGACAACGAATCCGAAAAAATACTGTGTTAGGCCTAACAATGGAGTCGTTCTTCCGAGGTCCACTTGTGAAGTTCAAGGTCTGTGTCTGACTCTCCCTCCCTGGAATTTGACTGTTGTAAATTATCGTCATATAATCAAATGAGGAATTCGCTATCTGGGGATATGGGGAATTTGATTGTGTGTCGATGTGTGCGTAAATCAGTGACGATGCAAGCGCAAAAGGAAGCTCCGGCAGATATGCAGTGCAAGGACAAGTTCTTGCTTCAATGTGTAGTGGCAAGTCCCGGAACCACGCCAAAGGATGTTACTCCAGAAATGGTACTGGGCTCTGACGGGTCATTGGTTTTTTTTGAACTCTTGATGCTGTTGATGTTGAGAAGTTTGGTATTTGGATTATCATTCCGTTTCTTTTGCAATGAATTTTGCAGTTTAGCAGAGAGGCGGGGCATCGGGTTGAGGAGACTAAGTTGAGAGTCGTTTATGGCCCTCCACCTCGACCACCGTCACCTGTCCGAGAAGGTTCTGAAGAAGGCTCTTCTCCAAGGGCTTCGGTTTCAGATAACGGGAATGCCTCTGAATTCACCGTAAGTATATCTCAGTTGAGGAACTCTGTTAAAGGTTACTTCTTTAAACCATCATGTTTCATTGTGGTTTAGGTACCGAGATCTAGCATCGATAGGGTTGAGTCTCAAGAAAACTCGTCTGAGGTACTTCCATATCGTTTCTCTTTTTGCTCTGATTTATAGATATGAGCTCCTACGGGGTCTTCCTTGTAGCTGACCTCCATTGACACCATAAAGAACGCAAAATGATATAGCTAGCAATAATGTTTTCTTTGGACGTTCTTAGTGAAAATGTCCTCCCATCGTTGCCTTTATGGAGTTGGCTCTTGGCTGTCATTCTTTCTTTTGCTCTGTTTTAAATCATTCAAAGTGGTTGGATGTTAAATGGCTTTTCTCTTTATATTCAGTGATGACCATTACCTTGTTTACAAGCCTTTCATGACCCAGGTACAATCGATGTTTTAGTGGTCACTGCCTCGTCAAGTGATGCCTAGATATATGCGTGTTTTTTTCAGGCTAGGGCTCTCATCGCTAAGCTGACCGAGGAAAAGAATTCCGCCGTTCAGCTGAACAACAGGCTTCAACAAGAACTGGTAAGTAACTTTTGTTTTGTCCTCCCTGCAAGTTTGTAGACTCTTGGAATGACTTCTTCGAGAGATGTATATACGATGATCATGAAAACTGAAGCATTCTAAGCGTGTTTTCATGGGTTTTTGACAAATATCTATTTCTTGGATGTTGAATGAAACGATATTGATTCATCATTCATTTACTTTTGGCCTTTTCCTTTGCATTTGGGTTAGGTCATTCTTTTCCTTGCTTTCGCCTTGAGAAAAAACTCCAATTCAGTAACCCACTAGGTTCATTTATATGTGTTCAGTTTGCCTTTAACCAAATGTATGAACATTTGTGTTTCATACGTAAAATAAGATCATAAAATGCCATGTTCATTTGAAAGTGGTTTGGAACAGTAAACGGCCGTATCTCATCAACGGGATTCTGATGCAGGAACTCATGAGGCGTGGAAGCGAAAGAAGACGCGGTGGCATCTCGGTCATGTACGTTCTTCTGGTTGGACTGATCGGTATAATATTGGGATATCTTTTGAAGAGGACATGAGTTTTGACAGTTGAAGCCCTCACGCCTCAAGTCTGAAATGCTAAAAGACGAAGCTTTATCTTCTTACCGCAACGTACTGCCATGTGTGAGACTCAGGGACTCAACCCGTTTTCTTTTTCATCTTTAACTCTTTATCGATTTTGGACGCCGACTGTTACGATCCGTTGAATTAGGACAGACATTATTACACTCCATTTTTGTATGATTTGAATTTGTAATTGTGAATTCTAGCAAATGTGTCTTCCAAATTCATGGGAGACAGGGACAGTGTCTGTTCTTTGTAGGTGACCTCGGAGGAAGCAGGAAGACTCTTACGCAAATGGAAGGTTCGGGCTGTGGGCATTGCTGACTCGGGCCGAGTTCGATCTAACTTCATGGGCCTTTACTGGGCCTGAATGGTACGAATTTCGGCCCATTTGAATCTTCAAATTATCAGACGGCCCACAGTCCTTTGGGCTGAATCAATTCTTTTAATCGGACAACCCTGTTAGTTAATTATCTACAATAAATGTTTCAACGTATATAAAATTTTAGACCAAATCTGGAAGTTGCATCTTATTAATATCGCCGATAATAGATGAGTGACTTCAAAAAAATCCTACTTTATGGGCGCGGACTTCCAAGTTTCTCAAGAGCGAGACGTTAATTATCCACGCGACAAGAGAGGCGCGTGCAGTACAGACGCTCCCCGACAAGAGAGGCCCAACCTACCTATCTACCGAACGGAAAGCCGTGAAGAAAATATCCAAATCCTCTCCGTCCCTCCCGGCGTCATGATGCGGAGAATTCCGTCTTTGTAAAGATCTCTCCTTTTCCGTTTTCCAATGGCGCCTTTTGTCGAACTCTGTCGGTACAAGCCGATACCTCCCTCGGCAACTTCTATCTACGCATATCCTTGCCGTTCTTCCTCCACGGAAACCCTAATTCTTCCCCAATTCACTTCCAATGCGAATTCGGGTCTCGTCTTCGATTCCAAACCAATGTTCCGTACGCGCCCGGTTCGTGTTTCTGTCAGTCGGCGGGTCATTACCGCCGTAGCCCGAGCTGAATTGAACGGGTTTGGCGATGACGATTCAAAGGAGGTAACTTTATGGTTTTCCGAATCTTTTGAAATGTTGTTAAACTCCTTAGGGTGTCTGGGTCGAAGAACATGATGACTAAGAATCAAGGAGTTGATATTGCATGAGAGAGGTAGGCTGAGAGTCAGTTTTAGCTTAATTGGAAATGGGTATAGTGGTTTTTTAAGGGATGAAAATCTGCTCAATGACGCCAGATTGGTGTAGGGTATCGAGGGGATCGAATTGATAGAGAATTGTGAAGTCGATGTACATGTTTTGCGGGATTTCCATATAGAATAGCTTCTCGTGAATATTAAGAGGTGGTTGTCGGTCAATTGGTCGTTATGTTCAATTAGCTTCTTCAATCATTCGCTCGCATTACAAGTGGTGTTACTGAAATGGTTATCTTTTAGCAAGTCGATGGAGGCCATGAATCGCAGAATGTTGGGGATTCGGGTTCGGAGCATCAGCAGAAAGCAAACCAGTTCAAGAACAGAGTCATATTTGGCCTCGGCATCGGAATATTGGCCGGAGGTATTGTATTGGCTGGAGGATGGGTTTTCACACTAGCATTAGCAGCGGCCGTTTTTATAGGTGCCCGAGAATATTTTGAGCTTGTTAGAAGTAGGGGGATTGCTGCAGGAATGACACCTCCTCCGCGATATGTATCCCGAGTCTGCTCAGTTATCTGTGCCCTTATGCCGTTACTTACATTGTGAGACGAGTAATCACGTCAAAAACTCGTTGTTCTCTTAGTATGATCACATGGATATTTCTGTATACTTATATCTTCCTGATCATTTGCATGACGAACGTTTTAGGTATTTTGGTCACATCGACATTTCGGTGACATCGGCAGCATTTGTTGTGGCGATGGCATTGCTGTTACAGAGAGGGAACCCTCGTTTTGCTCAGCTGAGTAGTACTATGTTCGGCCTATTCTATTGCGGGTATCTCCCTTGCTTCTGGGTTAAGCTTAGATGTGGTCTTGCTGCTCCTGCGCTAAACACTGGCAAGGACCCAATTCTCACTGCTTTGATCTTGTCCGATATTTCATCAGACCATGTTGACGAGAAGTTAAATTTATGTTTTGTAGGAATCGGAGGATCATGGCCTGTTCTTCTTGGCGGCCAAGCTCACTGGTCAGTGGGACTTGTGGCAACACTGATTTCAATCAGTGGTGTAATTGCGGCAGATACATTTGCTTTTCTGGGTGGCAAGGTAAATTTCAGTTCCTCTGCAAATAACGATCGCAACTATGCTCTTGTATCGGTCTGGCTTAAGAGCTAAGCTCGTGAAGAATATCGCAGGCATTTGGTAGGACCCCTCTCATTAGTGTCAGTCCGAAAAAGACATGGGAGGGAACTCTTGCTGGTCTTGCTGGCTGTATAGCCTCGACAACGTTGTTGTCTAAATTCTTTAGCTGGCCTCAATCTTTGTTAAGGTGCGTTTTCCCTTTGCGAATTTACGTTCGTGCCGATATATATATATATATATATATATATATACACACACATGCATTTCTCTTCTTGAATGGTTTTATTTTTTGTTTCTGCAGCTCAATAGCATTCGGGTTTCTGAATTTCGTCGGCTCTGTCTTCGGTGACCTTACCGAGTCAATGATCAAACGTGATGCGGGTGTCAAGGATTCCGGCTCTCTGATCCCTGGACACGGTAATGAGCCACGATCTCTCGTTTCCCCGTGAACACAGACAGGTCGGTCGGTTCTTGGCAATTTTCGTTTCTGAATCGCTTTTCCGAAAATGCAGGGGGAATACTCGACAGAGTGGATAGTTACATATTCACCGGTGCATTGGCCTACTCTTTCATCAAAACTTTCCTGAGATTATATGGAGTTTGATCTGCACGAGCCGAGCAATAAGCCCATATGGCTCGGGAAACCTACGGCCGTGACTGATTCCAAAGGGCGTAGCTTTGGTGACGTGGCTGAAAAAGGATCGGCCAAAACGAACGGGGTGATAGTTCCACTGGTTCAGGTTTATACGGCTAATGCGCTTTCTGGTTCAATCTAAGAGCCGATCGTCACTTGGAAATTGGTTCTTGGGGAAAATATCTTATGGATATGATTGTTCTACAAACCCTTTTTCCTGCCATTAATATTTAGATATAATTTGTTATTTATATATTATTTGTGATTCCTCATCGATTCTTCACGTAAAGTCGTCGAACAATATGATGAATTTTGGGGAAAAAAAGGTTTCATGGGATAAAACCAATTGGAATTGGTGGGTGTAATGGAAAGCGGAATAAGGAGATAGGGTAAACCAAAAGCAATGAAATTGACACCAGTGGATATTAATAGGTTGACCTCAACTCCATGGCTTCGGCTTCGGCATATATAATTTGATAGTGATACCAATTATTTTTATATTTAGGGGTCTCGTACAACTTAGGAGTGGACGTTTTAACCCGTAATCCGGGGGTTTGGAAGTACCCGCCTTAACAAGTACCCTAAAGGGTATCCGAATATTAACGATGATGAGATCGAATATTAATAAGACTAAGTTTTCGACCCCCGAATCCGAGTGGAGGTTCAATTATTTTACAAGGGGTATCCGGAGTACCCGTAATATTTGTTAAAAATCTAAAATATATTTTATATCTATAATATTTTTATCTAAATTATTCTTATTATTTATTAAAATACTTTTATTTTAGTTCAATTTTTTTTATGTTCTAAACATTTCTATACAAAAATTTCACCATTCCAAATCTCATTCTATGTAATCGAATCAACCATTCATCTCTCTTTCAAAATTGTACTCATCTCTCTTCATCGTAAATTTTTCTCTTTATACTTTGACCTCTCTCATATGTATTTTCTATATCTATCATTTTATAGTTCAAAATTTTATAAATCGTATGGGTTCGGGTACCCGCGAGTACAAGATCGAGAATCTCATTAAACCCGAGCTACAAGTACCCGGATTTTATGAAGCAAGACAAAGATAATATTTTTGTAAAACCCGTGGTAATGAAGACGAGACAGAGTTTTCTAAAAATTGGGGTACCCGACCTGTGCCCACACAACTTACGTTTTGTTTTTTAAAAAATGTATTTTTTTAAATGAAAAAAATATTATTTAAAGTGTAAAAAAAATGCATAAAATGGTAATATATCAAATTAAAAATCGACCCTAGACTAGGGTTTGTAGAAGGCAACACTTCTGAAATTCACATGTACACAGGATATTTTTTTTAAATGTGGCATGATGGTTCTTTATTCTTTTCCTTTTTGTAAGCCATCATACCTAAACATCCATCTTCATATACAAAATCTTTAGAATTTGATTATTGGAAAGAGCTCATAGCAACTGTTGACGTTGAATACTTTTTTTTTTTAAATTGTCAAAATGGATCCTCCTCGTGAACCGGCCTATGTTTTTTCCAAATCAAGCTCAGAAAAATTGAACCCTAAAAAAAGTGAGAAGAACGAGTCAGTTTATCGTGAGTCGAACTCGCAGCGATCCAATTTGACAAGTCCACGAGATGTTCCGTGAAAGAGATTTTTTTTTCATTTTTAATATTTTTATATTTAAATTGTGTTTTTAATAATTATTTGGTTTGTTTTATTTAGATTTTAAATTTTTTCTGTGTTTATAATATTTTTTATAGTATTTTTAATATTTTAATTGTGTGTTTTAGTTAGGTCACTAATTGACGAACCGACTCGTTTGTTTCATGATCTAAGGAAATCGAATTGAACCAAATAATTTTGGTTAGCCAAAAAATAGATCCAATCGGACTGCCCTAAAAAAATATAAAATCGAGATAGATAGAATCGGTCCAACCCGTTTTACACCCCTAATGATATTGTATGCCCCAATCATGATCATGATTTTCTTCGTCTAACAAACAAAAAAAAACCTTGTCCTATCCGATTAGGAAGATGCCAAGGAGATGAACTAAGTGGCTCCAAGCATGTGGAAAACGAGAAATTGGGTATTCATATCTTAACCTAATCATCCCATAATTATAATAAGAAATATTGTCATTGTCATGGTGAGGTCCATTTCTCGTCGAATTTTAGGCTTTAATCCATCATCATATGCTTGGTTACCAATTCAAATATAATCTGCGAGAACACATGCACGCCCACATGAACCATGAATTTTTTTTAATCTTTAATCCAAAAGTTATTAGAAAATTATTAAAAAAAATGTATGTATAAATCATAATGCATACACAATGAATTCAAATTTGTCTTTTCAAATATGAGATACCTCGACTAACCAATTAAATTATAAAAAAATATATTTAATTTTAATTAACGAATACAAAATTACATTTGATATATAACAAAATCATCTTTAATTTTTTTAAACTAAATTCGGGTATAATATCCAACAATTTGTTAAATAATTCGATTTTTCAGGTAGGAATAAATTGATTATTTATTAAGATTTGAATTCGTATATCCATCCCGTGGCCTTTTTTTTTGTACTCGCATGTGCATAAATCACATGTAAACAATAGCTTGTACGCTTTCGTCAACTCATCCGCCACAAATGGTGATTGTGTGCGATCATTATGTAAGTTTATGCTTATGATAAATAAGATGAATTTGCGATGGATGATATTAAAAAAATAAAATAAAAATACGTGGGGATGGTAGAACTAGAACGCGTTGTTTCCAAGCAGACTTTATAGAAAAGGGTAACGGAAATTTTATTTTATTTTTTTATTAAAAAAAAAGGAGGAGAGGTGAAATAAAGAAAGAAATGATTGGGAGGAGGAAGAGATGGTGGACCGACCGAGCATCGTCCCTAAGATTTTGTATTCCATGAAAGGTTATTCCACATGACCACTCCCTTTTCCCATTGGTAACTTTTGTTTTTTCTTTGTTTTCTATATATCTTATATTGTATTCCATGTCACCATCCACGTATATATGGCACATATATATATATATACATATGCCAATTATCCAAAAAATCCTCGATAGTATACTACTCCTTCAGATTGTTTCACATTTTTTAAAAAAATAGATTAAAAGTCACATATACCTTTATTTGAGTATAAAAACAATACAATCATTAATAATGTATTGGAATTTGATAGGGATAAAATTGGAAACTATTATAAAAAAATATCTTGAAAATGTAAAAGTACAAATATTTTGAAACATAGAAAATAACCTAAAACTACAAATATTTTGAAACGGAGGGAGTAAATATTAACTGTTCAGGTATGGATTTATATACGTGGAGAAAACTCTAGAGAAATATTTGTTTTTAGATTTTTTATCATGATAAAACATAAATTAATTTAAGTATATAGAATTTTGAAGTTAGAGAAGATCAAATTAGAAAGAGAATATTCTCTAGCATATTATTCGTTAAATTTGGGATTATAGATATGATCGAACATCCATTAGAATCTACATTATAATAATCGTCTATACGGTTAAAAGCATTAAATTGTATAATCATCGTATAAGCTTTGAGAAAGATATCGAATAGTATTATTTAAACAAGGCTTGGGATCAAGACCTCTCAACTTACATTACAATTACAATTACAATGAAAATGACATAATTATGTCCAATAATTATATTAATAAAAAAAATTAAGAGCCATGTGATTTCACGACAAAAAGTCGGTCGGTTTACAACATTATATAATCCTACCTATGTGACTATGTCTGTTTTTTCTTGACAGCGCAAATTTTAAATATACATATATATATGTATCAACTTGCATTAAGATTAAAGTTTAGACCTTTTACTTTATTTATTTTTTAAAAATTGCTAGGGAGTGGGGAGGATTATTAAACAAACATTCACCCTTGGGACCTCCAAACAAAATAACATTATATATGTATGATGTTTTGCATTTATATATATATGACAATCTTTTTAATTATTATTTTTTATTTTATTTTGACGGTAAAGCCAACCATTTCTCATGATGGTTGGTTATAAAATCTTTTTTTAGGTTTTTTAGTTTTAAATTCTAAGTAAGTTATCCATGTGGCAGCAAACAAGTACAACTTAAAACGATGGAACTATTGAAAGCAACTAATTTCGTGTCTGAATTAAAACAAATTTGGTTGTGCATAGTGGGATTTTTTTGGTCCGTGGAAAACTTTTTTTTCTCATTTTATCCTTTTTACTAATATAATATTTTGTTAGAAAAAAGTTAAAGAACAAAAAATAACAATTCCAATTCATAAATATCCCATCATCATTCAACAACTTGTGGTCTATAGTGTAGAGTCGTTCTCTGAAGGCGAACGGTTCTTATTCTTTTATTAGCAAACACCATTGAACACAAAAAAATCATATATATATATGCATAAACCACTTAAATACATGCATAAACGTGATAAATAAACCTAATAATTACTTAATTAGGGTATTTAAAAGAGGTGAAATGAAACGGGAAAGCAAAATCTGGAAGGGGGTAAAAATGCAGAAACAAAAAGGAGAAACAAAATCTAACAAAAGCAGATTTTATATAATGTCTTTTTTGATCACAAGATAAACTGGGAAGACATGGAATAATAACTTACCATAATCAACGGATAAGATTTAAATTAAAAAAAAAAAAGGATCACGACACAACACATGAAACATACGACGACGATATACTTTGTTTCAACATCTCCATGCAGAGACGGAGACAAGCTCTTTCCTTTCCCAACACAAGACGAGAGAAGACGAAGACTGCCTCTTCTCCACGTGGAACCCTCTCACGCCGCTTCTCTGAACCAGACACTCCGCCTGCGCCTCCGCCGCGTGGCTCACACTCGCCCCCGTGAACCCACATTGTCCCAAGAGGCTCCTCCACGGCGGCGATCTCTCCATCCATCGGTGGCGATTCACCAGCAGCCTCTGCATCGACGGCTGCAGCCAGATCCTCTCGATGCTCGCCGCCGCGTCGGGGCTTGGGTTCGCCGCGTCCAGGGACTCTAGGAGAGAGGTGAAGTACTGAAGCGCGTGGATCACGGCGTTTGGAAACGGCGCGTCGTTGCGGTCGCAGCCTCTGTCGGAGCAAACGACGACGTTTGGTGAGATCTGCCGGAGGAAACGGAGGATTAACGGGAGGTAGCCTGAGATAACGGAGCTGATGGGTAGGTTAACGGCGATGGCTTCTTTATCCGACGAGCGAAGAGACAGAGGCCAGAAAGCTGGGTTCAGAAGCAGATCGAGACCCAGGAGTTGGATCTCGAACGGAATCTTGACTTCTCCGGCGAAGCTTTTAAGGCTCTCCTCGGCGAAACGGAGCTCGAATTCGTCGGAGACGGTGGACGGAGAGGCAAACGCCGTTATTTTCAACGGCAGAGGTGTCCTGTTTCTTCCGACGAGCTCTTGCATCAGAGAAGCCCATTGGCTACCGAATCCGACATCGAAATCAATTATGTGGATTCGATCAAACCCTTCCAAAGAATCGATAATCGCCTGATTAGCCGTGAAGTTGACGAATTGGAGAAACGGAGAGGCTTCTGAGAAGGCCCTGTAAGAGGCGATTTTCAGAATCAGATTCTGGGAAGAAGAAAAGGCGGAGCCGGAGAGGACGAGTGACTGAAGAGCTTCGGTGATGTACAAAGCCGCTCTCTGAAACGGAGTCTTCCTGTCACTAACAGTGTTGTTGATGTGGTGATTGAGCCGCGCCAATATCCCTTGCGCGAGAACGGAGTCGCCGCCGGTTCCGATCAGCTCCGCCGCGTTGAACAGCTGTTCGATCACTGCAGACTGGGCGGG